AATCAAAAATCCGGTCAATTGCTTGCTCAGCTGTGTACACATCTTGTGCGGCCATTTCGAAAAATTTTTGAAATTAATAACGATTTCAAATTGATATTTCTAAAAATTTTTATATAAGCGCATGTGAGTTCTTCACAGATTTCGAAAGACAAAAGCTTCACACATGCATGTTCAAAATTTCTGATGTATTGGAGCTAAAATAAAAACAGAAGAGCGATTTGAAAACCACCTATTTTTTAGTCAAGAAATTTCGATTGCAGTCGAAAATGGGAATTCTCGGTTTGAGGTCAATTTTGATTACAGTCGAAGACGGTATCTAGAGGGTTAAATAAAACATAAAAGACAGTAACTCCGAAAAGAGACAGACATTTTGAGATTTAACGTTTCGATCTATTTGATCATTTTCAAGAACACTGATGAGAAAATCTCACCCATCCATATATATTTACAATATTTACAGAAGTATAACAGAAGTAAATAAAAACCGACCAATCAGATTAAAAACAAAATTAAAACCGTCCAATTAAAATGAGGTAATTAAAAATGAGGTGTGTCTTGCATTAAGTATATTGTAGCCCAGTATCTTTTTATGCATTTGAGTCAAAAGATAATAATATTGTTGCCTAAAATGGATGTTTGTTTGAAATATTCTTTTCCTAAAATTGTGTATTTTTTTTTTTTATTATTTTAGATGAAAAATCCGGAAAATTTTGCAAGGGATATGGCAGGTGCAGCTGAGTTCTATACCAACAGGATTCTTAAAGATAAGTAAGTAATATGGCGCCAGTGTTGATAATGATAACAATAATGATTAATAATACACCAACAATGAAATAGCTAACAACAATGAAATAGCTAACAACAACTATAATAATAAAATCATAATCATAATCAATGATAATAATGATATAAATTAATTGATAATAAGTATAACATATCCTTGACAGTAGAGTACTACAAACTGTGGTGCCAAAAAGGAAAAAAAAACAATATATTGTGTTCAAGTGACATTTAAAGGTTGGCGTTAGATTATGATTTTTTCATAACGTTTTTGTATTTATTTTGGTAAACTTTGATGTTTTTAACTCATGTTTTCTGAGTGTTTATGTAACTATTAAAGAAAATGAGATCAAATTGTGAAGAAAAAGATAAGTGCACTAAAACATTTTGATGTTGCCATCTTTTTTTTTCTCTTCAGAGTGCCTGAAGAAAAAGACTGGACACTTAAGCTAAAAGCCATGTTCAAAGGCCTACAAAAGTACATCATTGAGTTCTTCAGTGCTGGTCTACAGTGGAATGTACAGGTACAAATTGCTGCTACTATGTATGCCTAATAGATAAATAAACTATGTAATTGGATAATGGGAAATCTGGTACAGTATCTGTTCCAGGTTGATTTACATGCCCTACTGACTCCAATGTTCCTCAATTTTGTCTGTCCTGAAGACCTAAAATGTGTCTATGTTTGTTTTTTTGTTCATTTGCAGTGTTGTTATTCTTGTACAGTATCTTGTTTGTCATTTTATAAATACATTACATGTCTCCCTCTAATTGAAGACCACTTTAGGGACCAAGGTTTTCCTGGTCTTTAATTAGAAAATTAATCATTATAAAGATAAAAGATAGGTGTTCATCCAGGGCCACATAAAAGTAATCTTTAATTGTAGGTGGTGTTTACTTGGATGTGTCTTTAATTAAATGGAGAACTGTATTTAGAGAGTTCAATTTATTTATTTTTTTTCTTGTATTTTATATGTAAATTGCTGAATAGTAAAAATAAAAATCAGTGAAAAATTTGACTTTTTATATCACAGATGCTTTCCAAATATTTTGTTCATATTACACTACTTATGGGATTGTTATTTCTTTTACTGAAATTACATTTTATAATTTATTTGAGTAGAGCAAAATAAGAATAAAACGTTTGGCTGTCGTATTTACTAATTATCCATCTGTAACAATTGTGAAGACCAAATCGACTGGTAGGAGTTTTTTTGCTAATTTTTTAATTCCATAGAGTGACTCCTAATTATTGCTGCTGTTATTATTAAAAGAAATATTATTATCTATAATTATTCTTTATTTATTATTATTTTAACAGGGAAAAGACCCAGCATCAGCAATAGGTTCTGCACCAGCGCCAGGGCCGCCCCCACCACCTCCAGTCCAAGCACCAGCTCCGGGTGCAGCTCCACCTGCTGGTGGTTCCGAAAGTCGATCTGCCTTATTTGATGAGATCAGGAAAGGAACAGCTATCTCAAGTGGTATGTACTCTGCAACTCCCTTAGTTCCTCTAGTATAAGGCCATTTCCTTTCCCCCCCCCCCTTGGACCCAAAACTGACCCAATTTTTAGAGGTAGGCTTTTACTTGGGGAATCCACTATTTAATTAAATTGCAATTTTTTTGCACTCTATCCCTAATTCAAAGCCAATAGTTTTTTTTTTCTGAAAAGATTTTTAAAAGTCATACCGTGGGCTTTTATCCAAGGAAAGGGTGGTACATAAAAGTGGGCATAAAGTAGGTAATGGGGGTTATACAGTACCCATGGTGGGCTTACACCCGAGGAAATATGTTATATGTATTAAAGTTTTTGTTGTCAAGAGATCTGGAAAAAGGTTATAGACCAGGGGTGGGCATACAAATCGATCGGAGGGCCAAAGTGAATTTTTGATCTAACATCAAGGGCCGCACGTAAACTTCGATATTTCCAGTGTGCTTGCAAAAACCTCCAAGCGTTGCTTTTACACGAGTTTATTCCCAGTTTTAAAGCCCCATTCCCGGCAAAATTTTAGTTTTTAAGAAAAATCTAATTTTTGTACAATGTTATAAAGATTTATAAATATAATACGGAATTGCTAGTTTTACTGAATTTAGACATTCCTAAGAATGAAAAAAATGTAAAACTAGAAATTGCAAATTGCAAGTGAAGTGCTGCGAAGTAAACTGCATGAAATGTTCTTCGAACACAATTATTTATGCCAGTCAAGTGAAAATAATGAATAATAAAAATATAACAAATACTATGAGACACGATCCCATTGTCTATATTAGAACAGCGTTGGTACCGTGTACAATAGTGTTTTGCTGCAGTGACATCTCGCTGCTGGCGACTCGCTGCTGCTGGCGATGACTCGATGCTGGCGAATCGATCTGCGCATGTGTATAAAATGGTATTTATTTCCGAAAACAGTATGCCAGTCTACAACAAGCGTCGTCTAAGTGTAATAATTAGCACGTTGAAATAGGCTAGTAAATAAGTTTAACTGGGTTCGTAAATAATATTGCCCTCAAAATATTGTGGCTGAGACATGAGCCGATTAAACGTAGAAATAGGAAACCTAGAAATATAGTAAAAACGCTGAATAGTACTCCCAGCGTCGCGACATGCGGCGTTGGTACGAGTAGGCTAGCTGTCTCTTATACACATCTAGATGTGTTATTTTATGAGAAATAGTCTGTATTTATCATTTTTTTTATTCTTTTGCGTAAAACTAAAATTCATGCCAATATTTTTCCATGATTTATAAAAATTGGAGTAATGCAAATGCATATTTTCTTTAAAAAAGTCAGTTTTTAGTGAAATTTTGCCGGGAATGGCGCTTTAATACTACTTTTTAAAGATGGTCGGCGTCGGGCTGCAAAAAACAAGGTGTATTCTACCCAATGTTACTTGGTGGACCTCGCACATAGGGTTTTTAATACATTTTCGCTGGCTGCAAAAAAGTTGCTGTCGGGTTGGGCTTCACTTTACCCATCTGTGTTATAGACAGTGTTGGATTACATATTGACATACATTTATCTTTTGGTTCTGGAAGCAATTTTGGAGATCATTTTTATGGTCAGAGGCACAAAAATGTGTGCCAAGCCAAATTTACATCTTTCATTCATAATAATAGTGCCATAGCAAAAACATATATAGCTACTCTAAATAATTAGTCATCTGTAACAGTTTAAGTTTATTATTTTTTCCCTAGATAGAGAGGGGTAACCCTCAATAATACCTTCTCCCATGGTGTAGGTTGGGGAGTGGAAATTTAAAGAACAAATTAATGTGGTACAGTAGCTTATTCTATGGATAGTGAGGACGATGGTCAAATATACAATTTTTGTTCGGCCTCATGTGCTTCTAAGAAAAACACTGATGTTTAACAAAACATTTTTTTTTCATTCTTATTCTGTTTTGTTTAGGTTTAAAGCATGTGGATGACACGATGAAAACTCATAAAAACCCTAATTTGAGGTCTCAAGCCCCTAAAGCCTCATCACAGAGTCCTAAACCCTACAAAGCCCCTACTGCTAAGGTCACATCTGCCGTCAAGGCCCCGGTCACAAAGAAGCCACCTGTTCTGGAATTACTAGGGGGAAAGAAGTGGGTTGTTGTAAGTATTTTGCTGTGCTCATTATGCAGTAGTAGAACCTCAAATTTATGGCAACTATTTTACAAATTGGATCTAAGCAACATATTGAAATGCTTACTCCTTCTATAATAAATCATTATACTTAATGGATGGCATGCAGAATTACTGTCACTCTTGCCCTGAATTAATTTTTGCATTTACCAAATGTCAGTAAATAACTAACTTAGACTAACCTGTCAATTGCTAAACCCGGCCTAGTATCACTATCATCTTAACCTACCTCCTTGTCTGAAATCTCCTGAATATAATTTATTTTAATGAATTTCACGTTTTGTAAGATTTTGTTTTATCAGTTTAGAATTATTTTGAGCCAAAAAAACACGGGTCTGCTTTGGAATCATCCTCAAAATGAATAGCATGGGATTAATTTGAAACCCTGACCTTAAAGTTCAGAGTTTTGTACAACCAGCACCACACCAAACACTCCATTGATATTTCCAAAACTATTAATAGTGTCATAAAAATAGAATGTTAACCGATTAATAGCTAGCAAAGCTTTCAACCTTTTCATGACTTGTTCATTTCACTTTACAGGAATACCAAGAGAATAACAAGGAATTAAAAATCGAACCTGAGATGAAACATACGATCTACGTGTTTAAATGTACAAATAGTGTCCTACAGGTCAAAGGGAAGGTCAACTCCATCACATTAGGTATGTTACTTTGAACGGGATGTAAAGCTCGGTTTCCATAAAATCACTACACCCTATCGGCGACAGTTGCCGATAGTCGTCAGCAACCTTCAATAGCTTGTTGGTTTTTGAGAGAGGCCCATGCTAGTATAACTAGCCTGTTTGCCTACCTAGTAGTACTACTCCCTACCTACCACTGGCAGTCCTAGCTAGGCTAAGCCTGTACGTCCAAATGCTGTTGTACTGTTGAATTTTGGGGACTGCAGACCATTCATTTCTCTTTAAATTCTACTCTAATATTTGTTTAAATCTGCTGTTGATTTATCATACAGGCTATGATATTCTCCAATCGTAGAAAAGTGATTGTTGATCAAAGATCTCTTTATCATCACGTTGCCAAATTGCACGTTCATAATCGTTCATCTCCTTTTCCAAGAAAAGCTGATGATGTCAATATCTAACTTCGGCTGATGATTGGTCAATAGTTACAATTCATTGCTGAAGGTTGACCCTTGCTCAACTTTGCTGATTTTGTTGTAGACAGAATCAGGGTGCCTTCCCGATTGTGTCGGGGCAGCTGTGCTGTGTAGCAACAGTGTAGATTAACTGTGCAACAGAAAACGAGACGGAAATTAAAACCGAACTTGCAGTTTTTTTATTATACAATTACAAATTAAACAGTTGAAATTAAAAAGCTATGTTTAAATTTTCAAAATATTGAGCTACTGTATACATTTATGACTCTAGTGTATCATAATAATATTCTTCCTAACAATTTTAATCTTAATATTTTTTAACAAAAATCAATTCTTTTTTGTTGTTGTAATGTTTCCTGTAGATGGATGTAAGAAATTTGCTCTTGTTTTCGACGATGCAGTATCATCCCTGGACTTTATTAATTGTCAGAGCATGCAGGCTCAGGTAAGGGTACCCTTAGCTTTTCAATTGACCTGGAATAATGTATGTCACAACCAGGATAATAGAATATTCAAAGGTTTAGCAAAACATTTAGATTTTAATTTACAGTATGGGGAAGTGAAGTAACTCATTCTTCATGAGTAATAACCCGTAAATTAGAGAACTATGGCAGTCACAGTCCAGATTCGTAGTTAGACAAATTTGCAGGCATGAGACTTTTAGTGTGTGGGGCTCAATGTTTCCCACCCACAGTTCCGACACCCCCCCCCCCTGCCCCTTTCCAATACTGTTAGCATTACATTTATGTGCGAGATTTTGGTACTTAAGCATGAGAGCGTGAGACAGACCCAAGTGAGTCACATGCCGAATGCGAGACACTTGAAGAGTTAGACTAAACGCTTGCACATTATTTAAAGAACAATATTATTATAGTATTTATACCAGTATTTTTATTATCTGTATTTAAATAGGTGACTGGTCATGTTCCAACTATAAATATTGACAAAACAGACGGTTGTATGGTTTACTTGAGCGAGAAATCACTGAGCACCCAGATCATCACCGCAAAGTCATCAGAAATGAACGTTCTGGTTCCTAAAGGAGATGCAGGGGACTATGTAAGTTACATGCTTCAATGATTTTTACCAACAGTGCCGCATTGTAAGAGCCAGTCCACAAAAAAATGGAAACATTCTGAGCTCTCAATCTTCCAATTAACTTTACAGCATTACATTGCCACATCTAATGACACCTGCTTAAAATTAGCATTTAAATATATTTTAATTGCCTAGGGAAGACTATTATTTAAATCATCTTCTTTATGCTGACGATCTGCTTTTAATTAGCGATACAGTAAAGAGACTTTAAAGGGACAACATTTTTAAAATAAACTTGAATATTTATGTGGTTTGTGGGGTCTAACGGTAAATATAAATAAATAAAAAATAATGGTATTTAAAAAAGGAGGCACACTAAAAAAAAAAAAGAAAAATGGTATTATAAAAACACTCAAATGGAAGTTGTTACGTCATGAAACGAAAAACAGAGTACTACCACAACATAGGAAGCGCCCTATTAGAATTTGAATAGAGTTTGAAACTTAAACATACATTCTATAGATACAACACAATTTCTATACAAATGCCTTTCACATTATTTTGAAGGGCGCCCTCTAGTTTGTAGTACTTTCCAAGAAAGGATTGCGTTTCAAGGGAATTTGACAGTCGGACTTCTTGCAATTCTATACTCTTTGATAATATTTTGATAGGGGAATTCTTTTGTGGCCAGTTTTGAGTACACCAACTTGTCTTCATAGCACAGTTGGTAGCATTCAGAAAATCCCAGGCTCTATTATAATAGTGAGATATATATAAATATGTGAGATATTACATTGTTGTTTTTCTCCAACAGACTGAGTACCCAGTTCCTGAACAGTTTATTTCTACATACAACGGTAAGAAGCTGGTAACGGAACTTCATGATCAAGTTGCCTAAATTTACCAGGAGTAAATCGAAGGATACAAGAAAATGTTTTTCTTTTTTTTTGCAAAAAATAAAACCAAATTTTAGTCTTCGAATTGATTTACTTGTACAGATAGATGTATTTAGGTTCTGCTTTTATACATGTTTTTACCATAAAAACGAAGGTGCATGAATTAACAGGTTTTCTAGATTTAAGCTCTTGTTTTTAAACAATTTTATTTTTTTTTCTTATCTTTCGTCCAAATTTTTACAATAATATACCATAAAAATTCAGTGTTTTAAAACAATGATGACAATGACTGATTATTTTGAAATAATGATTGTTTATAATGTTTTATCGGCATTATTTTTAAACTATACTTAAAAGATGTTTTATAATGATGTATGTGATTCTTATTACAGTAATATCATTAATGCTATGGATTAATAGTTAATGGTAAAACTTAATGATAATATTCTTTGCTTATAATTTTCATATTCAAACAATGAAGTTTCTTATCAAAATACTTAATCTTTAAATATTTAATTTCTCTTCTAAAAGCTTATTCGTTTAATTATTATTTTTTTTAAATTTACATTGATTTTTACAAATAATTAGACTATTTCTGTTAAAACTGAGACTTTAGATAGAATCATGTAATTTTCATTTAATGTGCCTCTATAGTTTTGTTTTTGCTTAGGTCATTTAAATGTGACTAGTAATTTATGCAACTCTTTTGAGCTTGAATCAAGGATTGAATACATCTAATGTAAAAACAAATTGCAAATTGGGCAACTGTGCTAGATTAAAATGTGATTCATTTTGTAATCACTGGTTTCTAAGACAGATATAATGTCTGGGCTTAAGTATAGCCATTTAAAACTTTGTGGAACGAAGTGTATGCTTGTTATCAAAAATGATTAATTCCAGCTTGAAAACAAAGACTTACTTGGTCATAGAAATTGGTCTAAACATAGACTAAAGATCATAGAACAGTTATGAGGATTAGATGAAATTGTGTATGCTTGCTATCAAACAAAGATTAGGTGTACATTAAGCAAGCTTATGAAATGTATCAATATGATTGAATGTGTTTTTTTTTTGTTTGGTTTATTGTTGTGTACAAAACGACACATCTGATGCTTATGTGTTTGTTTTTAGGTGTTTTTTTTTAGGATAAATTACATTTTGCATTCTCAGCAAATTTATAATTGATTATTTAAAGCAATAAAGTTCACTACTGTACTAACATCTCGTAGCGGATTTTTTTTTTTTTTTTTTTTGTTTGTTTTTTTTTTTTTTTTTTCGTTTCATGAGTTAAAATGGGAGAAGCATAATAAAGAATGCATAGATTGTGTAACAAATTATATATCATGTATGCATTGGACAGTTGATTTTCATTCACTGGGTGTTTGCGAGGTTAAATTTGTCTCTAAGTGAGTAGCCACATTCAAAGGAAGATGAATTAAAGGAAAGAAAAAAAGGTATTGAGCCCTGTAGAGAAATACAGTAGTGGAGAACCTTAAGGCCGTGTGTCCAATCATAGAGGAATAAGTTTATACTTATTACTCCATGGTCATGTGATATCCTCAAGACTTGATCAACAGTATCGCTTAAATATTAAGTTCTTTAGTTTTAAAAACTATACAAATTGTCGCTGCAATAAACCTAATAGTTTTGTATAAGTCATTGTATCACATTCCGATTTAGGTCTAATATTTTATGATATTCATTTCCTCTGATGATTTTATTGACTGTACTGTCTAAAGTGATCATAGTATCCAAATTGTCTATATTATGAAGGAACAGAGCATAAATTTCAAACAGTAATAATAATAATAATAATAATAATATGAAGGAACAGAGCATAGATTTCAAAGAGTAATAATGATAATAATAATAATAAAAAGTAAATAATAATAATTATTATTATTAGTGTGGTCCTCATCTAATCGGATATCCGAAATTTGGGCTGGGTACCCACGGCAGCCGCAGTGCAGCGCCACTCAACTTAACTACAACATATAACCATATGCTCTGTTATATAACGGACGTACACATACGGATAAAAATCGTTGACCCTAGCCCACCATACTTTCAGTATGAGGGTTATTCGAGGAGCCAAGCGATCAGACTCCAATTAAAACCTGAGGATGGATAGGTTTGAACCCGGGTCTTCAGCACAAGAAGCAGGAACAATAGCTCTCAACCAGCTAGTTAAGTGTTGGTTGGAGCATTAAGTACTTCGATTGATGAAGTAACTATAAAGGTACCGGCATAGCTTGTGTCTTTGGGACTAGTTCATTATGCTCTACTTTATATGTTCTTTCCCTTGGCGTGGGCCTCATTTCCTACTGTCATTTTTCTCAGATTATGTTTCAATTATTTCTTAATTGATTCATTTCATTAAGAATCCATTTTAAATGTTATCTACTTGCAAATCTTATAACGATTTCTTGATAATCCGATCCAAATGCTGTCGTCAAGCAAAAGTGATGTAATTAAAATAACGCAAATACGAATACTCATGTTGACATTTTAAATTCGAATTAAAGTGATTCTCTCACGAACTCACTTCATGCTTTATTTGGGCCCACATTCATCCTCCAATTTATCATAAGAATGCAATCATCCGGAGCTCTTCATTCTTGATTTGCTAAGCCGTAGCTACATTTGCATAAGCGCGCCTACCGACCGGATGTGCTCTAGAAGCGAGTCTAGAATAATTTCTTTGCAGAGCAATAACATTTTGAACGAATGTTAAAACTTTGATTTATAACATGCGATTACGCGCTTATCGAAGAAAGGACAACAATTCTGCGAAGGTCAGGAAATGTATTCAGCACATGTAGTACTATAATTCTGGTAGATAAGGTAAAGATTTTCTCAAGGCCACTTTTTTTCACTTTTTTTAAACAAGAAGACATTTTATAGAACATTACTTGTTGTTATAAAACTAAAGTGATATTTTACAATACGATTAATCAATATTCAATTTATTTATTGTACTAATAATAATGGTCATGATACTGATCTGATGATAATGACATAATGGTGAAGACAGTAGACTTAATAATGTTATATTTAATAAATCATATAGGCCTATATTATATATATATAGGCCTACATTATGTCATATATATATACATATATATATATATATATATTCATTCATCTTTTATTTCAGAGTTTCATAGAACAACAACAAAAAAAAGAACAAGGCGATCAAAAGCACAAGAAAAAGTAGATAAACACAATTTGCTGTATCCACTGTCCACAAAAGCATAATGGTGAAGACAGTAGACTTAATAATGTTATTATATTTAATAAATCATATAGGCCTATATTATATATATATATAGGCCTACATTATGTCATATATATATACATATATATATATATATATATATATATATATATATTCATTCATCTTTT